TGTTTCTACCCTTATAGGTTAGGTACCTCTTGTCTCAAGCTGCTTTCAGGGTTTTCTGTTTGTCTCTGAGATTTGCAAGTTTCACTATTATATGCTGAGGTGTTGACCTATTTTTATTGATTTTGAGGGCAGTTTTCTGTTCCTCCTGGACTTGAATGCCTGTTTCCCTCTCCAGATTAGGAGTTCTCTGCTCTCATTTGCTCCAATATACCTTCTGCCCCTCTCTGTCTCCTTCTTCTTCTGGGATCCCAATTATTCTAATATTGTTTTGTCTTATGGTATCACTTATCTCTCAAATTCTCCCCCTGTGATCCAGTAGTTGTTTATCTCTCTTTTTCTCAGCTTCTTTATTTTCCATCATTGGTCTTCTATATCACTAATTCTCTCTTCTGTCTCATTTATCCTAGCAGTTAGAGCCTCCATTTTTGATTGCACCTCATTAATAGCCTTTTTGATTTTGACTTGGTTAGATTTTAGTTTCTCCAGAAAGGGATTCTCTAGTATCTTCTATGCTTTTTCAAGCCCAGCTTCTATCTTTATAATCATTATTCTGAACTTTAGTTCCAACATCTTACTTATTTACATACTGATTATGTCCTTGGCAGTCAGTACTGCCTTTTGTTCTCTTTTCTGAGGTGAGCTTTTCCATCTTGTCATTATGTCCAGAGAAGAATAGATGAATGAGAGAACAAAATACTAAAATGGCAACCACAACCCTAGAGAAATACACACTAAACAAATCAGAAGAGACCAAAACAGAAAAAAAAAAAAATTAAAAGAAAGAAAAAGAGAGAATATAATCAGAGAGGTGAACAGAACAGTGCAGTACACTGGATCCTGTGTGTTTTTTGATCTGTTTGTTAGAAAACTAGATCCCAAAGTTGTAAAGAAAGAAAAACTTATATATGTACAAGAATAAATTTAAATACTATGAAAAGATAGAATGTAAGTGTAAAAATGAAAATTATAAGACAAAAAAAAAAAAAAAAAGGAGGAATATAAACAGACAGGTGGACAGAACAGAGCAATACACTATATCCTGAGTGTATTTTGGTTGGTTTGTTAAAAGAAACTACATCTCAAAATTGTAAGGAAAGAAAAACTTGTATTTATGCAAAAGTAAAATGAAATACGTTGAAACATTAGATTGTAACTGTAAAGGTGAAAATTTAAAAAGACTGTAACAAAACAAAACAGAAGAAGAGAAAAAGAGAGAATATGATGAGAGAGGTGAAATGAACAGAGACATACACTAGATTCTGGGTGTATTTTGGTCTGTTAGAAGAAATTGTGTCCCAAAATCATAAAGAAAGAAAAACTTATATATATACAAAAATAAGATTAAATATAATGAAAGGATAGAATGTAACTGTAAAAATGAAAATTAGATTAATAAAAAAAGTGGATAAAATAAGAAAATGGTTGAAAAAGGAAAGAGGGAAAAAATTAAAAGTGAAGACTATAGAATTATAGCAAATAAACCATGAATTCTTTATGCTATATTTCTGTGGTGCTAGAGTTTTGCAATTCTCAATGATTGGCAAACTTGTTCTTTGCTGGATGTTCATGCTAATATGCTGGGGAGGGGCCTGTTGCATTGATTCACAAGTCTCTTTTCTCTAGTCGGAATTACACCACTCTTGCTAGGGGCCAGGCTAAGTAATTGGCTCTAGATTGCTCTGTGTGGCTTTTGTTCCCTGAAGGCTTTCTGTGCTGCTTTAGAGGATGAGAATGAAAATGGCACCCTCCCAGTCTCCAGCCCCAGAGCCAAAAGCTCTGGGTCCCACCTCAGTGCACCCTCCAGGGAAAGCAGTTATAACATCACTCCTGTCTCCCTGGTCTCCATCTGCTCTCTGTGCTCATCCAGCCTGTGACTGAATGTTTGTATCTCAGGCACGAGACCCTGCTTTGAGTCTCCAAGCTCTGTAGACTCCTGTGGCATGCATCTGAGCTGCTCTTCCTGGGGGAGGAAGGGGCATCTTGCTGGTTCTATGGCTTGTTGGGCCCCTGCTCGGAGAGCAGTTGCCCAACTGTGCCACAGTTCTTATTGCAACCCCAAGTCAGAGCCCACTCCTGGGCTTGCTGATTACCGCTGGCTTCCCTCCTCTGATGCCTGGGAACTCTGCCACACTCAGGCCTCCCTGGTTTTCCAGTGACGCCAAGCATCCTGAGACCACAATATCCCACCTAGGATTCCACCTCTCTTTGCCACTTGACCATCTGTTAGGCAGGGATGTCCCTCATTGGAGCAGACTTCTAAAAGTTCTGATTTTATGCTCCACTGCTATATCACTTTCCGGTAGGTGGCTCCCATAGGCTCCCTCCCCCTGAAGTTTATCTTCCCATATATAGCCTTGGATTCACTTCTCCACACCTCCCACCTTGCAGAAAGTGGTCGCTTTTCTATTTGTAGAGTCACAGCTGTTTTTTCCTAGATCTCTGGTTGAGTTCACAGGTGTTTGGAATGATTTGATGGCTATCTAGCTGAATTCCTGGGACCAGGCAGAACTAAGTTCCCCTACTCCTCTGCCATCTTGGACTCTCTCTTTGCTTTTGTTTAGATATTTTCTTCAAACATATCTTTCAATTAACTAATATTTTTTTTAAAAACTGTGTTTCAATTGCTATTACACTGACCTAAGTTTTTAATTTCAGATTATTCTATTTTTCAGTTGTAGAATGAATTCTATTTAAGTCTTTCCAAAGATTTCACTTCTTAGGAGAAATTCTCCATGTTTTTAACTCTCTTTTTTCATTTTTTTCTTGAACACATTAATTATACTTATTTTAAAGTTCTGTGTACTAACTGCAATATCTGGATCACCTATTAGCCTGTTGTTATTTTCTGTTATTTTTTTTCTTGAGTTTTGATCATGCATGTCTATCTTTCAGCATGCCCCCTAATTTTTAATAAAATGCCAGATATTGCATGCAATATAGAGACTTTAAATGGTGTTACCTTCTACTAGAGAGATTTTATACTTTCCTTTGCAAGGTGGATAGAAGTCAGAGATCACCTTAATCCAATCATGAATTACAGTGATTATATTTTTTCTAGGGCTTAATTTACCTCTGGCTTGTTCATTTTCTTAAGTGTAGTCCTCTAGGGATTTCAGCTCCAAGCCTGATGTGTTCAAGACCCCTTTCTGTCAGCTTCTGAACTTCAATCTTTAATGCATCTGTGTTTTGGTTTAGATTTTTAGCATCACCCCATCTCTCATCCTCTGGCAAATGGGGAAACAGATCATGTGTTTTGAGGCTCCTCAAACCTGCAATTTTGCCATTTTTAATGGCAAAGCTTAATAAGACCACAATAAGCTTTTTCTCAGTTCTTTAACAGCAACTTCTGCCAGGTCTAAACCCAAATTCTTTCTCTGTTGCCTGTATGAGCAAATGCCACTAGGGAAAAAGCACCTACAGAGTGATAGCTTACCTTTCAGAAGTTCTACCCTCTTTAGAATCTTAGCCCCTCTTGTCTATGCTGACAACTCAACGTTAGAAGCATCCATAACTGTATGAGGCCTTTAAAAATAAGATTTTCTTATATTTTATCTGGATTTCAATTATTTTTGGTAAAAATGTGATCTTCTGCAAACGTATCCCCTCTAAAGCCAAAGTCATCCAATGACTGGTACATTTTCTGAACTTCTACCCATAAACAGTAAAAATTGCAAAATGTGGGTGCCTACATGGCTCAGTTGGTTTAGTGTCTGCCTTCGGCTCAAGTCATGATCTCAGGGTCCTGGGATTGTGCCCTGCATCCAGCTCCCTGCTTGGTGGAGAGTTTCTTTCTCCCTCTGCCCCTCCCCACTACTTGAGTGTGCGCTCTCTCTCTCAAATAAATAAATAAAATCTTTTTAAAAGTTGCAAAGTGCTTTTGAATTTCTCTTTTCTATAATTTCTAGTACCACGTACATGATAATAATAAAATTTATTATAAAAGTAAATTATTTTTTCAGCATCAGTAAATATAAAACCACACAAAATAATACTGCTGGCTCAGATGTTCTATATTTGAAGGCTTTCATAAGATGTGACTGATTTTTCTGTTTTTGAAAGTGATAAAATCTGTTTTTCTTTTGAATGACTAGGTAGGAATAATATTAGGAGAAGAGTCGAGAAGCACCAACTTCAGCATTTAGGTTAGAGAGGCATATAGTTTTAAAGATATAGTATGTGAGGGATGGATTTTTTAGTAGATTAATTTTCCTCATAAAGTGAACAAAGAAAGAGATATCTAATTATTTTACTAGGTATTGCATTCTGAATTATTAAATATGAATGTCAAATTCTGAAATAAAAACAGTGAAGTATATAAAAATGGAAAAATAAATTCTTATCCTTTCTGTATACACAGAGAATGTTACTACTGGTTATAGAGTTTGAAATATTAAATGAATGCAAATGAGTAAATTGTATGATGAATCAGAGTATAATATCACAAGGATTAATTAATTGCTAATTAAAATTTTACATTACCAGCTTGATGTAGCCTATTAATTTGCATCCTCAATACATATAAGGAATTACAATATTCAGGAGAGTGTGGATCATTCTGCTTAGAAAATTTATTAATCAAGGATTTCCACATAATCAATTTAAATAGTTACTGTTAATATATATTTATTTTATGTATTAGTAATTAAATACTAACAAGTAATACTATATGGCTAAATATCTCATATGTTATGAAACAACAAAAATTGATGTCTGAATTTGACATCACAGTATAGGTAATAACTCACTCTTAATGTGTTTAAATAATGTATGTAGATCCTACTTTTCTAGAGTTCCATATAACTAACTCTTTTTTCATTTTTATATCACATTGACTTAAAGTCTTTTACTCCTATATCCCATTTAAAATTTTTAATGAATATGTCTATCTCTATTTAATGATAAAGCAACATTGATGTACTTTCTTGCACATTTATTACTTATTGTGCCACTTGAATTGATAAATAGAAAGGATATACTCTTTTTATCGCTTCTTTCAATATGCTTTTTGGAACTCACAGGTTGGTGGAATTTCTGATGAACTACCTAACTTGACTAACCGCTATGCTGCTTTCTTGTCAAGAACACAAAGATCTACTAAACTGTCAGATATGGTAAGAAGACTCCTCTATAGCCAAACTTATTTGTAATCTAGAAATCATGGAGGAGACTGTATAACATGAACAGTGTATTAGGATCTGAGAGACGTACCTGGTAGGCTGTTGTAACATCTTTGGTGAGCATGATACTTCCATATTTTTTAAAGTTCAGCCAAAATTCTTGAAGCTAAGTAGAAGTTCAGCATTGCTCTGTGAGAGACTATTATATGGAATATCTCCTGTAGGGTTAGAGAACATTTATTTTTAGGACATATAGGAAATCATAATCATTTTGGATATGAAGTGAAAGATTTACTTTAGGTTCACCTCAGTTTATTCATAAGTGTAAATTTTTTCTTTTCAATTTGAATCTGTCTTGCAACCTAAGACTCTTCATTCAGGGCTTTTCTTTAATCCATGTTAATCTGTATTTTAAACTGTTGCTATGAATTTTTCTAACTAAATTTCCATTTTTTATAAATACCTAATATTGAATAAGTTGAAATAAGTAAAGCAGATGAAATTTAAAAATGAATATTTATTCATTCAGAATAAATTTACTAAAAGATCGATTTGAAATTTACAGTTAAAAAGTTAGACTTCCATGTACAGGAATTGTTAAAATGAATTTTTATAGACATTGGGCTGAAATTAATAAGAGATTAATAATAAGATATTATTAATAACCTATTATCAAAACAAGCTCATCAATCAGGTTTTAAAGTGTAGCCATCAACTTGAGAAGTAGCACTGCTTACTGAAATAAAATTCTAGTAGGTGCACAATGCCAAGAGTTCATTTATAATGTTTTCAGTGGTGAAGTAACTGGTACAAAATTAGGAAGAACTAGTTTAAAGAAAGGACAAATGCAAAGCTAGTTAAATTAATATAGCTGTGAATGTCTAAGAAATCATAGGGATTAATTTGGTGAGAGTCATCAGAAATGGGCTTATTTTTTTCTGAGATATCAGTTTATTGAATCTTATTTTTTTTTGAAGACATTGGTTGAGGGGGTCAGAATTAGCATCAGGTTTTATGATTTTTTTTGTAGCTATAAGTTCAAAGACAGTTAAAATCATCCAGCAGTGTTCTTGACATGTAAGAGATTCTCATAATTGTAAAATAAATGTTTTTTTAAAATGCCTTATTTTAATAGATATTTATCTTGAGGAGTTTTATGGTTGTGTTGTGTTTCTCAAGTGAGTCATTATATACATTAGGATCCACTGTGAAGTATGTCAGAGGTAATTTATTACTAGTATAAAGCCTTTAAGCCTAAGAATATTTAGTGGATTCATAGTTATTTCTATCATGATATTATAGCTACTAGAAAAAATGCAAATCTCTGAAGGTACCCATAGGAATGCATATGTATGTGCTAAATGTTTGTAGAGAAACAAGATGGTGATGTGCTCTAAAGAAAGATGAGTTACTATACCAATTGCTTTTACTTAATTTACATTTTTCTCTTTTAACTTGGTCTTTCACTGGATCTGGAAACTCCTGTTTTAGTATTGTTGTTTTTTGACATGAAACACTTGGAATTTAAAGTATTGGGTGGGACTTTGCTTATCCAAGAAGCAAAATAGTTTAATTACATAGAATACTTTGGTTTTAGAAACTCTTCTGCATATAAAATACCCTTCAAATATGTAGGTGTATAATATATATCTCATGAAAAATCCAAACTATTGATCCCAGATCAAAATTGATCTCAAACTTATAAAGTAATGGAATTAATTTTGTAATTTTCACTTACAGTAAAAATATTAGAAAATTTGCTGCCTACATTTTAAAGGGTATAAATTTGATTTTCAACATTTTATATGTTTCACATAAAAATATTTAAAAACTCAAGCTTCTGGTTTCATATGAAAGACATATACGTACATCTCTCTTCCTTTTACATGGTCCCAATGAAATAGATTTTTTTTTAAACTATAACATAGCATTAGTTTAATATAAAAAGACAAAGAGATTGAAAATATGATAAATGGAGGCTAGAAACAAGCCAAACATCTGTTTATTAGGCATAGTAGTTAGGAGCATTTGATATAAAAAACAGTAAATTATCCTGAAATGAATAAAGACAGAAGTCTTCAATTAGAAGAACTCAACATAATACCAAGGAGGATGAATTTTAAAAGACATACATCCCTTTCACATTGCTTTGCATTTTCAGAAGACTAGCATTAAAATACCCTTGAAGCTTCCACAGAGAAAAGTAACTGGGTCACCTACAGAGGAATGAGAAACATACTGATATCCAACACTTTCCCAGCAGCATTGGCAACATTTCAGAGTTAGGAGATGATGGAATAACACTTTCTTGAATTTCCAAGAGGAAATAAATTTGGATATAGAATTCTGCCTTTATACAATATAAATCCAATTAAATGAGTCAAGAGAATAATTTTCTGGTATGCAAGAGCTCGGAAAGTTTAGTACTTCTACATTTCCATGTATAAAGATGCTCCAGCAAAATATAAAAAGGGAAATGAGAGACAGATGATATACCCCTAGAGAACAGAAACTGAGCATTTCCTGGATGAAGTAAAATGAAAACAAATTAATAAAGAAGGCATTTTTAGCTCACTCATGGGCCATTCTTGAGGAGTCATGGATTTGGTGGCAGAATTTCATTTACTTCTCTATGTGTTTGGCCACACGAGTTGGTTTGATAAGGAATAACCATGATATTCAAATTTCTATTTTAATACTGAGTGGTTTTAGATCAATCTATACAAATTGCAGAGGACTTAGTTATAATATAAAAATATAAATATTAGAAAACTTAGTATCAATAAAACAAAAGCAAGAAGTGAAAGGTTGGGATGGAGTAAAACGTGCCAAATTTCTTATAGTACACAGAGTCAAGAGATGTCAAAAATTGACAAATCACAGTGTAAGTTCTTATATTGTTTGTAATGGTAAATAAAAAAAAAAAACCCTCTAAGAAACCCAATTACTGTTCAAATAAATTATTTCTGGAAATGGAACTAGAGAGAGGTCAAAGAAGACAATTTTACTGTTCATTTTAGACTCATATATGATTTGATTTTTGTTTATACTGTGAACATATTATTTTAAAATAAAAATAAAAATAGTACTCATGAGTTAATGATGAGTATGTATTTGGAATGGCATGATCTCCTGGTACCTGGACTGACCCATTCTCTGCAAACAACCAAAATTCTAGATAAAATAGAAACAAATATATTCATGAGTGCTTCCAAGAATCAGGAAGAAATTAAGAGTACACAGGCTAAAGACTAAATTAAGGAGGGGCCCCAGAGTGGCAGAGCACTGAAGTTCACTTCTACCCTAAGGACATTTGCCAAACCATATGACATTGAATTTTAATTTTTATAGCCTCCAAGCCCTCCAGGGAATGAAACAAAGCCTTAGACCTCTCATAGTGGGTAGTCTCAAAGAAGATTCATTAATACAGTTAAAACTCCAAAGGGCAAGCTGTACAGGTTAAAAGTGAAATGCAAATAAATCTACCTTTCACACCTACCAGAGGATTTGAGAGAAGTTACTGGTGTTGGGCACTTTGGTTTTGAATGTATATTAGAGGAATTACCCCTGAGAATCTGTTACATTTTGTATTCATTTAATGATGTGAATTGTTAAAAAACACAAAACATCTGTCACAGATATTAACAAAATTAATTTAATTTAATTATTATTATGTTTTAAAGATTTTATTTATTTGACACAGAGAGAGAGACAGCTAGAGAGGGAACACAAGCAGGGGGAGCGGGAGACGGAGAAGCAGGCTTCCCACTGAGCAGGGAGCCCGATGTGGGGCTTGATCCTAGGACCCTGGAATCATGACCTGAGCCGAAGGCAGATGCTTCACAACTGAGTCACAACAAAATTAACTTTATTAATAAAAATAAGAGCTAATGCTTATATAGTGCTTGTTTTAAACCAGGCACCATTCCAAATGTATAGTAACTCATTTGAATACTACAATTATGATCATTTTTAAAAATGAGGAAACTGGGGAGCACCTCAGTTGGTTAAGTGGTTAACTCTTTCTTTCGCCTTTGGCTCAGGTCATGGTCTTGGGGTCCTGGGTTGGAGTCCTATGTCAGTGGGGAGTCCCTGCTCAGTGGGGAGTCTGCCTTTCCCTCTCTCTGATCCTCTCCCACCCCCATGCTCTTTCTCTCTCTCAAATAAATAAAATCTTAAAAAAAAAGAGAAAGTTATAGTGGTATATTTAGGCAGAGAGGGCCTATATCAGTCAGGGTCTAGTCAGGACATAGAACTGCACTAGTTATTTTGAGACAGATAATATAAGGGATCATGTATATTGGAGAACTGAAAAGGCAAAGAGGAAACACTAAAGTATCTTGGAAATAGTAACACAGGCAATCAGTGCCACCATTTTTAGGCCTTGGGGAATAAAGGGACTCAGTGGAATTATTAAAACTTGAAAGATTGGAGAGATGTTTTGTTGCTGGGATTCAACCCTCTGAAGAGGAGGCACAGCTCAGCTGGTGCTAGTGTCTCAGAAGCTCAAAAGTAAGATCAGACCCTTGGGACCCTGAAGATAGTAAAAATATATTGGAAATGGGTTTCAGCTGAACTATTTCACAAGAATCAAAGTTATTCTGACTAAACTATATTGCCCTCAATATTTTTTATAATTTCTCACTGGAACATATATAGAAAGTGCTTTGATTTTTGCATAGTTTTTGGAGTTTATTTTGTTGGTTGGTTAGTTTGCTTGTTGGCATCATATCATTCACCAACCATTGGTGAGGGAGAGCACATTAAAATGAATTTTCTGAATATAGGCCCATTAATGCAAGTGAAGGATTTAGGCCAATGATTTCTGACACACTGGAGAGTGATTTGGTCACAGTGCACTTAGATACTTTGTGTATTTCCATTACATTTTGAAGTCTATATACATTTTCATATAATTGACTTCATTAGTTCAGAAAATGGGTTTGATATGCAAGCAGCAAGAATAGGTGCTGTTGGATACCATCTTCATCAGA